TGCACTTTCTCATTTTCGACATGCAAAGAGCATTTTATCTACTTTATTCGATAGAATTTCATCTTTTATTTGAACTCTGTCCTATCTTATGAGGCCTTTATATGAATATTTCTTCTAGGATTAACTCGGAGGTTTTTTTTCTCAATGGGACTCAATCTGAGCACTAACGGGCAGCAGTTATATTTAGCTTCCCTGATGTTAATTCTTACTTCATGATTTCCCCTATGATTAAAAAATTGTTTTCTGGAGTCTCAATATCAACTGAACTGATAATGGAAACCTTTTAAGCATGTGTAAGCTCAAAACCTAGTCATTGGCCATTGAAAGTTCAAAGAAAGTTTGGTGCAGCCTTAACAGTTTTAAGTTTCCAGCTAAATGTAGCCAAGATTTGGGCTTGATTTTTCTTTCCTTTGAGCAAGTGTAATAATTGCATCTACTGGTCTTAGAATTAAAAGAATAGCATAATATATACATGAAGAAAAGACAGGTTTCGATGAGTCTTCTGAGATAACACTATTGTGGTGCTTCTCATTTTGTATGAAAGTGCATGATGAAGAGATTCGTAGGTCGATCTCACCAGAATACGACGGCTGATTCCCGCTGTACTACAACCCTTTGTTTTTAACACAATCTTCAGGTTGATACAGTCCACGAGACATTGCCCCTTGCTCAGGGTAAAAACTGGATGAGATTTTGTTCTTAATATGACGAATATCATTATAATTGGGACTCATTCTGGAAAAAGTCTCACATAGACACAAAGTTCAGGCCTTCATAAGATAGATCTTAAGCTTTTGTAAGAGTATTTGGTTCCTAAGCTGCCTAGCTCTGTAGACAAAAGTGCCTGTCCATAATGTTAGTATCATTTCCTATTTGTCATATGAACTCGAGACGTGAAAATTGAACATGGCCTCGAAAAAGCTACTCAATTTCTCTAGGAATCACTTTGAAAGTGAGTTGAACAGATTTTTTCGGCGACAGCCATATTCTCATTCGCTGCAACAATTATGCGAGAACCGGGTTTGGGATGTCTTAGACACCTTGCATTTTGGCCACACTTAGATTCCTCAAACAAGTCCTACTTGGTGATATGGGGAAGTTCGGACGCTCAAGATGTAATTCACGGTTTCGCTAGGAAGGTAAGCACCGCTCAAACCTTCTGGCAAATTCTCTTCAGATATCTTTTAGCATGGCTGGCCAGGAAATCAGACGCTTAGGCCGATGCCAGCTAACTGTTTTTTCTGTTAAATTACCAACAGTTATAATCTGAGTTGCGGCAACCTCCAGATGAGACCCCTTACTTGCCTATTAATCCATCAGCGTCTTCGTTTTCAGTGTTATCTTAGCGTTCATTCATAGATTCATTACAATAGCGTCGATAAGGCAAACTTGTATTCTCTATTAAATTCGATGATATTATTTATTTATATATGCCGATGCTAGTTCGTACCATGATACTAGTTTTATTTTGATGAAGCTTCTGCCCATTGACACCCTTAGTTGTGGCGTAATTATAACGTGTCAGAAAAAAGCAAACTTCACGAATTACCCAGGTTGGATTCTCTTTGGGGGTTCTTGTCTGGTCCACACAAACTCAAAACTAGCATCCAGTTAGGTAAAGGAATTTTTTGGTAGATAAGGCTACGTGAAATTAAAAGAAATCCTGAAGCCCACTCGTATTATTGCAGGAAAACTCAACTATTAACTCTAAATCCCCTAAGCGTTTTATAGTAACTACAATTTTATTCAAGATCTGTTTAGTCTCAAAATCTATTCATTGTGTATACGTGAAACCTATGGGGAAAAACTGGATTCTGAAGAATTTTTCATTGATTTATTGTGGCATTAATTGATATTTCGAAGGAAATTTGGTTGGAAGGAATCCATAAAATGGTTTTCCTGGAAACCAACAGAGGGAAGAATGTTCGATTTGTGAAGAAGTAGAAACCTCAATCCAGCCTTGATTAATGAGCCTTTATGGCGACCAGGCCTTAATGAAAATATGCGGCTTTGTGAGACATCGTGCGAAACTTGACAATCATTATTGCTTCTCTTGAAGCGAACTAATATGATATCTGCTCTCCTATTTATTTTATTTGTTAATTTGAAGTTGTAGATATGATTTTTTTCCAACCCCTTTATTAATTTACAGGGACTCGCCTAGATTATTAGCATATATGATGATAATACTAATTCATTGTTTCTTTTCAACTTTTTTATCTTATCAGACCCTAGTCGTCTGACGCTCACTCATTTGGGTCTTCTGCTTGCTATTCCTCTGGTCACACCTCCCACCACTAGTAGTACTTGCAATCTTTCTGGTTCTACTCTCCAGTCTTCTTCCATTGCCAATCCTGCTATTGGTTCTTTTGGCACTGGTAGCAGCACGACAATGACGGCACGAGGTACCCAGCTATCTTGTCTAGAGAGCTATTTTTCTGCTAGTCTTCTTTTCCACGCTGGTCTAGTGGCCACTCGAATCTTAGCTCATAACGGTTTCGTGAAGCCTCTAGAGCAAACCCCTTCAGGTAAGACATATCGTTCCCATATTGCATCACCTTGCAGTTCATTTTTACTCGTCTGTCCTCTTCATTTTTCATTTACAACTACGAACTTATTAGTTCATACTTGCTTTGCATGCCTACGTATTGCCATATGTTCAAATTTAATAGTACTGCCCCTTATGGAACCATCAGCTTATGATTTCTTAATAGCTCATTATGCCTGCAGAAAACCAAAATTATTTTATTGACTCCAAAGTACTAAAACTTTGGGGGCTGGTATTTACACAAAAAATGAACGCGGGGTAAAAATGTTATTTATCTATCCTCTTTTTTCAAGTACTTTTTACTTAGTAAATCCTATAAGTATTGCGCGTGTTCGCGTTTGTGTGTGCGAGCATATGTATGCACAAGTGCCTGAGGTAATAGCTGATTGAGAGTAAGTTACACTGCGTCCTTCATCAAACAAAGTAAGTTTTGTGTCCATATTTTAAACTTCTTATACGGGTGAGCCATAGTGCTACTAGACCCTTGAGAGTAAGGGAAGAAAAATGCATTTTGGTGAGGCAGAGCTCATATATTGATTTGGATCCCTTCTACTATTGTAACTTGCTTTGCCAGGCTAGATTAAAAGTATCGTGGATTTTTCTTGCATGCTTTATTACTACACTTTAATAATTATTTATACTATCGTTATGGATATTGCTCTTTTCGGTGGTTTTATTATTAGTAGTGCTTATCACACTTACAGCTCACATTTGTTTCTTGTAGCTCAGTATGAAACTGTAAAATCCTTGACTTCATTCCCCTTCTCCTATCAGAGATAGGACAAAGTAACGTAGTTTCTATAATAAGACACAGATTGGCCAGCTATGATTATTTTTGATAACTTTTATATGCTAATGTTCAACAATCGTATTGGGATTAGGCAGTCTGGTTCAAATACATCAATGAAGAATCGAACTCTGGTTATTCTACCAGATGCCCAATGAGCTTTTATTTGTTTTCTTAATAGGAAGAAGTTTCTTTATGTTCATTAAGACAAATTTTTGAAAATGTCTGGTTGACTTTCATTTATTTCTTATTCTTTCTCAGCCAAAAAAGTTACAATTTATTTAAACCGGCTTGTGTTATCGCTCATAATTCGAATGGGATTCGGATAACCTGTACTTTGACCTTCCTGTTATGCTCAATATTTCCATTTATACTGAACAATAAAAAATTCACTGGGTTTACGGTGAATCTGTTTATTATGAAGACCTGCCCAAAGAATCAGCGCAGGTAATCATTACCCATCTCCACCATGGACATTGCCTTATATAAATTAGGCAACCATATGTCGGCACGCATGGATATTAAGTGCGCTAAGCTAAATATTTCACATCCTTATGTTCACCTTTCACTTAATTCATAACTTATGAAATAACAAAAATGATTTTTAATTTATTTTTTGTTTGTGTTATGTTGTCGGGTAAATAAATGCATCGATTTCCTAACATACAAGACTTACATCGTCTTAAAGCATAATTTTCTGCATTATTAAAAGTGTGCCCGAATGTACCAATATTTAGCTTGCTTAAAACCACTACTGTTTCCATCATATCTTATTTATCCGCATTCAAAATTCTTTAATTTTTTTCAGAAGTACCTTGTTTTGTAGTAACAAGATAATACCAATGATATCTTACCATAATTCTGATATAATATGGTCTACTATTGGCAGTCGCCTGTTTAAATTAGTTTAGAGGTTTTGCCACTCTTCCTTTTACAAATATTTAAATGTATTCTTAATGTGGCTATTTGCCTTACTTGCTCTTGCCTGCTCTAGGTTCGACAGTAGATACACTCAATTCTCCTCCTCAACCAGACGTATATCAAGCAGCTTGCATCTCAGGTGACCTTGTTTGCACATGGCTGCATTCTGGCCTTACCACGCGGCTTTTCCTACATCCCTTTAATCCACAATCTATACCGTCCTCAGACTCCACCTCTTCTCGAGAAGTTATTTCTCCAAAAATGTCTCTTCCAAGTACCTCAAAATCCTCTTCCGGTTCAGAACGCAGAATTCGCTTGCCTCGTTGGAGTGTTCGAATATCGATTTCAGACCAAACGATGACTTCTCCTTCTGCGACTGCCATTCATCCTCCTCTCCAACAGCAACATTGGCCTTCTGAGCTTATATCCATTCTGGAGGCCTTTTTCGAACGACGCGTAATTAGATTCATTTTTTCGATTTTGAC